GACAAAAAACTTAATTGATCTTTATTAATGAATTACAGTTTAATTAAGACAGACTTCTAATAAACAACTTTGAATTAGCAAAGAACAAAGCATACGTTACTTGATAATGCAAACATTTCCTAAATCCACAACTAAAAACTAGTCGAAAAGGTGTTTTGAAAAGTCGTCACCGTTTTCACGAAGAGGCGAATTTAGTATTTCACTGTCTGAACAAACATTCGAGATTATCCCGTTTGAAGTTGGTCTTTTTTTCATTTGACAATTTGAAATTTAAAGTTGCATAAAATATGCAAGATTTAGGTATCAGAGGAAAGAAGAGCTTCTAACCTTCCTCAATGTAGCAAACTTAGTTTTTCTAAACTTAGAAAAATAGGTGATTAGTTTTGCAGAATTAATCAATTAAGAGATGTGGCTCTTCGTGAAAACGAAAAAGAAGAATTAGCAAATTCGCCCCTTCGTGAAAACTCTAAAGTGACTACGCGCAGATTTCGCCCTTCTGCGGTCTGAGTCAATGCATTTTTTGTACAGTACGCGCAGATTCTGCCCCACTGCGCATGCTGGCCTGATCAAACTATTGAAATTCGCCCCTTCGTGAAAACATTTTATTGCACGCGCATGGAATTCGCCCCTTCGTGAAAACGCAAAACGGCAGTTTTGGCAAAGTCGCCCATTCGTTAATTAGGTTAATTAAGATTTTAATTTATTTTCGGTCCCGGAATCTGTGTATCCAGAGATCAACCCGCTATCCACTAGGCTACTGTGTGGTAGCTCGGCGATGTTCGTACTTTAAAATGCTTTAAAGGTAACTGTTTGACAAATAACAACAATGATCCTGAAAGCATGAATAAACATACTGGCCTGATCAAACTATTGAATTATTCATGACTTTGGAGCATGCCGCCTACGGAAAAGAAATTCGCCCGCCGCATACCGCATGGACAGGGCGGCCATTTTTGTTTTTTTTTTCTCGATAGGGTGCAACCCTGTATTAAATTCCCACAGACACTAGTGCTAAATCCCCATACTTCAAAATTCTTTTAAAATACTCAGAACTCTCACAGTTATTTAAAGGGAACATGTAATAAGATTTGTATGACTTAAATACATTTAAAACAGCTTTCTTGCCATGTTACTATGACTTTCTACCTCCTTTGTAGCAGTAAAATGGAGAAATTTCAACATTTTAGTTTTTATGCTTATGAAAATTTCCATATTCATGTGCCAAAGCGTGATGTCATTCAAAGCAGAACGGTTGCACCCATGTCATTCAAAGCAGAACAGTAGTATCTCCATAGCATTGTGTATAAATATATATCAAACTTGTCTTCATTTTTTTTGGAGTAAGTTGCATTTTTTAATTGTATATAATGTTTAACAGCTTGTTTGGACAATAGTAGTGGTCAATATTTCTTCAAAACATTTTTTGTGGGTAAGTTTAAAGGACTATTTTTTTTACAGTTCATATGCACTTTTGACAAGGAGTTCCTTGTGTGACAAAATCAAAATAGCGCCCTCTTGCATGTGTTGATGAAAGAATTTGCTAATAATGGAGAAAAAAAACACCACTTTCCAAGGTCAAATGTCCGAAGTTTCGAGTTTAATTAACATGTCGCGCACAGGTGCTGTTTTGGATTAAAGTGTTGAGATTGAACCCCTGATACCAAAAATGCTACTTAAGAACGGAAAAAAGGTCAGATAAAGTTACCTAAGAATGATTTATATATTGTATTTCTATATATTTCATATATAAACTGAATACAAATGTACCCGTATATCCTGGTAAATAATGGAGCTGCATAGACCCCTTATTGTAACCCAAACCGTGCCAAAATTGAATAAGAGCATGAAATTCGGCTTGCAGAGTTAAAACGGTAAGAGAATCATGTTAAGAGGTGGATCCAACTTGAATCTTGCCGATTTGGGAGCGGAGCTGGATTTTTAAACAAGGGGTGAAAGGAGTAGAAACCCAGAGGAACTTTATTCAACATTCATATTCCTTTTTTTTTCCATGCCTTGAAATAAACTTGGACATGACATAAAACATTCTAACATTTTACCAACGGCAAATTTTCCTCTCAATTTATAGGTGCGGCCTAAATATGTAAAGGGGTGGTGTATACTGGTTTGATCCGATTGTGACAAAAATTGTGGATTTTTCGTGGCAAAACCATAACAATTGGTAGGTGTGGTTGTACTTAATATGGGCTGAACATAGTTTTACGTGAGGGATCCACTTCAGACTTTAGACTTGGCTTACTCTGGGGTCAGAGCTATATTTTAAAGGGGGCACACAAAATATAAAAAATCCGTATCTGCAGCATTCAGTGTTCTCTATATGCTTTCGAATAGGCGTAGCAAATGAAATGACAACATTAAAACGTTAAACCACTTGTTACTGTCACCCATTTGGTGGGCGTGGCTTAAATTCTAGGCGGTTAAAGCAGGATGATTCAATGAGGCCCAACTCGTCATTTGGGTGCTAAAAAGACAAATTCTGCATTCGTTAACTTTATTTTTTGTACAATAAAATTAATACAGGTATAGCATTTTTCCCATTTTATGGTGGTGCTGCATTTTAAAGTACATGGTAGGGGAAGAAGAGTGCACACTGACTCAAAGTAATTCAATCTACTTCAAAGAAATATTTATGACTTACGGTTTCTATATCCTGTAGCAATGTATGAACATGAAATCAACTGTCAAGAATCAATCCTAATTTATATATACTCAGTTTCCTGTTGTGGTTCATTGAAAATTTGTAATAACAGCTGTATCCTATCCCCGTTTGACATTTCCCAGGTTTGCATCACTGCCAATATGTTGCTAGTATCATGATTTTGGGTGTGATCCCCGCTATACGGCATCGTTTATGGCTTCTAACTAACGCCTTCTGATTGAAAAAGACATTGACGTATTGGGATCCAGCTAACATTTGCTGGATAGCCCTGCAGCTAGAGCACTACCACAATCTGGAGGTCGAAGGTTCAAGCCCAGTTCTAGTTATCTTATTTGTTTAACTTTGAAAAAAATAAGCCAGGTATCAGTACAAAATTCAAGTCAATTAAGACCTGTGTTTGACCAAAAATGAACAAAAAAATCTCTTAAACTGGATTCCGTTGCTAACGATCCTAAAAGCAGCGCATTGGAAAATATTCTAAAACCACCTTTAACCTTTTATCACTTTTAAATTATACAAGTTCAGGCGAAACACTTTGTAGAGTATTGGTACCAACAGGTCCCAAACTTAAATTGGGCAAAGAATTTGTTGTAAATCGATTTAGTAAATAAAAAGAACTCTTTTTAGTAAATGCAAATATTCCTACGTGCCTTTAAATATGCTCTTTGAGTCTTGACAGTTAATTCAAGGTGTACACATAGGTTACATAAGCTTGAAGCCCTTAATATGGACAATTTACATGACGGAGCAGCATTTAATAAAGTACTTTGAGCCGGTACAAAAATGTATGGAATATTAACCCCAATTATAACATGTGACTCCATCTTAAAACGGGGACTGCATGTTACCTTTAATATTGTCTTTACATTGTATAATGAAAATATAGTCAACGAATACAGAATTTAAGATGACGATTTGGGCCTCATTTGAATCATGCTGCTTTAACATACCGGATAGCGTATTTAGGCCGTGCCAACCAAATGGATAACAGTAGCAAGTGGTTTAAGGATATATTTCATATGCTACGCCTATTTGAAATTATATAAAGAACGATGAATGCTGCAAATACAGTTTTTGTCTGGATTTGTGCACCCCTTATAAAGTAAAACTCGATCCACTCCTACAGTGGGCAGATTCCCAGATGGATCCCTCTCGTAAACATAACTATGTTAAGCCCATTTTAAATTCAACAAGGCGGCGGCCTGCCAATTTGTGTGGTTTTGCCACAAAAATGCACGTTTGTCACAATTGGATCAAACCACTGGTATACACCACCCCTTTACACATTTAGCCACGCCAACAAATCGGGTGTAAAATACATGTGTGTAACTTTTCAAAATGCTAGAATGTTTTATGTCATGTCCGAGTTAATTGTAAGGCATGAAAAGAGAAGGAAAATGAATGTTAAATTCAGTTCAGAGATTGTATTCCTTTTAACCCGTTTTTATCAAGCTCCGCCCCCAAGTCGGCAAGAAGGTGGGCCTACCTCATGAATGATTCTCATACCGTTTTGGCTGTGCACGCCAACTGTCATGCTCTTATCAAAAATTCAGGCACGATTTGGGCAGAAATAAGGGGCCTAAGCAGCTCTACTACAGACCAGGATATATACTTGTACATTTTCTATACAGTATATATATGAATATTATAGAGATACAACCTTTAAATCGTTCTTATAAGTAACTTTATTCGACTGTTTTCCGTTCTTAAGTATCATTTTTGTATCATGGGGTCAATCTTAACACTTTAACCCAAGAACGGCACTTGTGGGCGACATGTTAATTAAACTTGAAATTTTGGACACTTGACCATTGTCCCCAGACCCCTATCCTACCTAGAGCAACTTAAGAATGGCCATTTCGGAACTACCTCATGACGGACAATGGCCTGGTAGCATCAAACCTTTTGTGCTCAAATTGTTAATTTAACTCCACCTAGCACCCGGTCTAATTTAGATGTATCAAAATTCAGCCTGCATCATAAAATGTGTATCTGAGCTTAATTGAAATTTTGATTTTTTTTATGCAAATTGTACGAAATCCAAAATGTTCATTTATTTTAAGGTAATCATAATTATGATAGGATCGGTTGTATTCTTTATACATGTATAATCTCATCAATGGCTTCAATCTTTTCCTTGCCTGATCGTAACTCTCATGTGGTACCAATAATGATTAAATGGTCAATTAATAGACATTTAAGAAATTATTAAAATCTAAAATGGCATTTATTTCTTTTTCAGGGTGATACTCTGTTTAGCTCGAAGCTTGAAGACGATGCAGTTGATACATGGAAGAGTAGGAACACCTCGATAGAGCTTGTGATGTCAGACAACATACAGGACAAATTCAACAAACTGAATGTAGAGGCAGAGCTTCAGGTGAGTTTCTTGGCCGGCCTGATCAAGTTGAGTGGATCGGGATCTTACCTAGGGGAGGAAAGAAAGAGCGCTAGAGCTCAAAGTATGAGTCTAATCTACAAGCTGAGAACATTCCATGAAGAGATCATGCTCCGCCAACACAAAGATAAGATCGACCTGGCAATTCTTTCACCTTCAAATGGGCAAACCGTAAATGCAACCCATGTGGTTGTTGCTATCGATTGGGGAGCAGTTTGCTCGGTTACCTGTGAGTATGAAAACAAACAAAATGAAAATGTCACTGAAGTCAAAGGGGCCTTGAGCGCAGAACTTGAACAAATCAAAGGTTTGGTTGACGTATCGTTTGAAGGTAAAACCAAAGGAAATCACAAAAAGTTCACCTTCAAATGCAAAGCGGATGTGTCGGCTCCTGACAAGGATCTACCTGTAACATTCGAAGGTGCTGTTGAACTAGCGCGAAATCTCCCAAGTCTAGTTGAAGGAACAAACGAAGGCAAGGGGGTTCCTTTGCTTTTCATGTTGATGCCACTGGATGTTGTCGTCGAGATGTGTAAGCCCCAGATACAACTTCAAATACAATACACATCAATCAATGACAACATCATCAAAAGGTGTGCACAGGTTGTGGAGGGAATCACCAAAAAGAGACAATCTCTCTACGATATTCAAAATGATCTGCATGCCAGCGGCGAATATGTCGCTAAAGGATCCCTAGATAGGATTGATGATATCTTAAACGAGTTCATTGTGCAAGAATCTGGTTTTAAGTCTAAGCTTCAAGATTCGGTGAAGAAAGTCAGGTCGGGTATTGTGGATGTCTCTGAAATCGAGGCAGTCCTGGATAAAGAAGTGTCTGGGGCATTTTCCATTTGCAGTTACAACGATTACATTAGAGGGTTTCAAAAAGATATGAACAAACTCAAATCCATCAAATCATGGAAGAAGAAGGGAATCATCTTCATCGGGAAAAAAGATGAATTTACTGTGGACGACAGCAGAGTGGTCTACGCGCTCTACAAGACTGGCGAAGAGAATGTAAAGAGCGATCTTGATGAGAAAAATCTGGAGTTCTTTTTGCGACTACAAAAAACACATGCTCACGAGGAGGACTACAAATTCATAGTTGTGGACCAGGACATAAGAGAGGATATTTGGCCATCAAGCATAAATGAGACAACCATTTATAGCTTTGTAGACGGTCGTCGAACATCGGAAGACCTGTACGCCAAAGAAGGCCAAGACTCTGAGATGTGTCTGATACAAATCACAAAAGCAGAATACAAGCAAATACGCCCACACAACCGAGCATATGTCCAGATAAGATGCCCAAATGCTTTGGACGGAAATGGTCAATGTTCAGGTGACCCTGTCACTTGGAAGTGTTACAAATGCAAAGAGTTGGTTGAGTATGGCATAGAAACTAAACAGTTTCACTGCAAATGTGGAGAATCTGACCCTAGCAATTCAGTCTGGCGTTGTAATGATGAGAATCACAGAAATAACTACGTCAAGTATCGACACGACATTCTCTCTACGGAGTTGTCAAATCTCCGGGCCATGAAGGAGAGAAACATCTTGATCCTGGGTGAGACAGGCGTTGGTAAATCTACGTGGATCAACGGTTTTGTTAACTACCTTCACTATGCTGATCTCCAAGAAGCTATGAATGCCAAGGAATTCCATGTTTTAATACCGTCCAGTTTCACCTTTACACAACAAGAGGAGGAAAAGAAGATAATGGTTGGGGAAAGTGACACCAATGGGAACACGGAGGACGGAAAATCTGCAACCAAAGAGCCTCGTTCCTATGTCTTCCATGTAGGAGGGGAAATGGTTCGCTTGATTGACACACCAGGAATAGGAGATATAGACGGTGTACAACAAGATCGGAAAAACTTTGACAATATATTATCGCATCTGACCTTCTACGAGGAGATTCATGCTGTGTGCATACTTCTCAAGCCTAACAATTCACGTCTAACAGTAACGTTCCGCTTTTGCATCCAAGAACTCTTGGCCCACCTGCATTCGTCAACCAAAAACAATATTGTATTTTGCTTCACCAATGCTCGAGCTACATTCTTCAAGCCTGGGGACACCTTACCTACCCTCAACAGAGAACTCGAGAAAAAAGAGGTCGGAATTAAAGCTACTCCAAGCAACTACTTCTGTTTTGATAACGAGCCTTTCCGCTTTTTGGCTTGTGTGAAAAACGGGGTGTTATTTAGCGAAGAGGAGATAAACACTTATGCTGAAAGCTGGAACAGGTCTGTTGAAGAAACCAAGAAGCTATTTAAACACATCAGCTCTTTGAAGCCCCACAAAATTCGGAATACTTTGAGTATGAATGAGGCTCGAAGAATCATCGTGGCCATGAGCAAACCCTTGGCAGAGGTGGCCAAGACAATCCAACAAAATGTACATGAAGGCAAGGAGGTTATGACACAAATTGACCTAGTCGACAGAGATATGGACAGCTTGAAAGCCAAACTGAAGTTTTCTGGACTTGACCTTAAGCGTGTGGAGTTAGACTATCCTAGAACAGTCTGTGCAGATCCAAAGTGTGTCAAATATGTCTCAATCGGTGCGAGTGGTACACAAAACACAATATACCATCAAATATGCCATGATCATTGTACTCTGAGCGGAATTCCAACGGAAACAACAAATGATGCAAGACTACAAAATTGTGAGTGCATAATCGGGACTAGTTCGTCTTTTTTTGACACAGTTAGGCGCACGATAGGTAACATACTGGTGCGACCGACAGAGTGTACTAAGTGTGGTCACCATAACAACACTCATATGCACATGACGTATGACCTGCAGGTTTTCTCCAAGGAGTTCCTTTCTGAAGAAGTTCAAACACAAATCAGTGAAAAGAAAAGCGCTAGAGAAACCAAGGAAGCTTTCAAAGAAGCAATTGATACAAAAATTGCGGAATTGAAGGAAGAGGAAAACACCATCGTAATAACTAGCGCCAAGTTTGGCTCATTTCTCAAAGCAAATGCTCTCATACCCTACAATGACGCAGTTGGTGACTATCTCAACATGTCTATTGAACATGAGAGACAGAAACCCGATGAACTCCGAAACGGTACTCTTCTGATTACAATGGAAGTCATGAAGGAACAATATGAAGATGAAAGGAGAATCTTGGATCACGCAATCGGTAAAGAAGGTGGCAAAAACAAAATCACTTTAGAGGACGTGATGAAGCTTCTGAAAGAGCTCTTTGGCCTAAAGCATATGGGAACAACATTGAAAGATATTTATGATGGCATTTCTATCGCACACTCTGCCAGAAACATAGCATTCAAAGAGAAGATTGCCCCCACTCCACAGAATTACAGGATAACAGAGGAAAAGAGCAGTTGGGACTTGACTTCCTTAGTGGTGACGATAGTAGACTTGGTCAAATAAGAGCTACGAATTCAGCTATTGATCACATGCAAGGACACAACACTAATTACTTTGCATATTGATGGCCTTTCTAAGCATATATAAACCAACCAAAAAAAATCCTGCAAAGATGCGATTTCCATTCCCCGGCAGGATAACAATGACAACAGCAGCAACAACAACCCAAACACATCTTCAACATCATCAACTATATTAATTCTGGCTTGATATTATATGGAAGCAAACTAACTCTCAACTTCACTTGATTGTAGTGACCTCAAACTCTAACGTCCAAATAAAATTGCCATTTCTAATGGCTTTGGGTATGATAACAAGATTAGTTTTACAATATATCTATGTTTAGGATACATGTGGTATGGGTATGCGCATTGTTTTAACGATAATAAATCAATTATATCACAATACTCGAGGTGTGCTTATTAATCTTAGTCTGCAAAAAAAAAAAACTACACCAGTTATTTAACAGTTTTATAGTTCTGTACATAATTACTCAATTTTATGAAGCTTTATGTGTCGACAATATACTTAAGTCTGGTCCCACTATATGGAATCTCCAGGCAGTCTTCAGACTGCAGCCAACACTCACGGACACTCACTCCTTATGGGTAGCGGTAGGCCTTCGTCTCACTACAACTAACTGGCTCTGGCACGACTCACTACTACTCAATGGCACTGGCACGACTCACTACACCTCACTGGCCCTCGCACGACTCACTACCACCTCACTGGCTCTGGCACGACTCACCACTCCTCACAGGATCTGGCACGACTCACTACCACCGCACTGGCTCTGGCACGACTCACTTCTCCTCATTGGCTCTGGCACAACTCACTACTCCTCAGAGGCTCTGGCACGACTCACTACTCCTCGCTGGCTCTGGCACGACCCACTACACCTCACATGCTCTGGCACAGCTCACAACACCTCACTGGCTGTGGAACGACTCACTACTCCTCACTGGCTCTGGCACGACTCACTACACCTCAAAGGCTCTGGTGCGTCTCACTACACCTCACTTGCTTTGGCACGGCTCACTACCACCTCACTTGCTTTGGCACAACTCACTACCACCTCACTGGCTCTGGCACGACTAATTTCTCCTCACTGGCTCTGGCACGACTCACTACTCCTCACTGGCTCTGGCACGACTCACTACACCTCAAAGGCTCTGGTGCGGCTCACTACACCTCACTTGCTTTGGCACGGCTCACTACCACCTCACTTGCTCTGCCACGACTAATTTTTCCTCACTGGCTCTGGCACGACTCAACACTCCTCACAGGCTCTGGCACGACTCACTAATCCTCACTGGCTCTGGCACGACTCACTACTCCTCACTGGCTCTGGCACGACTCACTACCACCTCACAGGCTCTGACAAGGCTCACTACACCTCACTGGCTTTGGCACGGCTCACTACACCTCACTGGCTCTGGCACGACTCACTAATCCTCACTGGCTCTGGCACGACTCACTAATCCTCACTGGCTCTGGCACGACTCACTACACCTCACAGGCCAGAGCACGACTCACTTTACCTCACTAGCTCTGGCACGACTCACTGCACCTCACTATACCTCACTGGCTCTGGCACGACCCACTACACCTCACTGGCTCTGGCACGAATCACTACACCTTACTGGCTCTGGCACGACTCACTACACCTCACAGGCTCTGCCGCGGCTCAGTTAACAGGATACAGAATGGTCGGGGACAGGGTGGCAAACTGAATGGAATAAAATTACTTAACCTGATACAAATTGACGACTCAGTCTAAAACAGCTGTTGGGCAACATACGGTCTACATATTCTTTCACCTCAAATACAATATGCAGTCAAATTTTGAACATTCATTTTATAACAATTTAATTGCAAATCAATCTTCAGTATTATAACAACGATCTTACAACTGTGAGCCTCATTTGGATAAGGTCCAGAGAGTAAATATCTTGCTCGTTAGTCAAATCTTATTATTAAACATTCACTTCTTATAACTACACTTCATCAATTAATATACTTTTATTGGACTTGGTCCTCGCTTTCAACGGCTACAGGATGGGTGCTGCTATACCAGACTGAAGTTCAAACAGGGCTGTTGTATTTCGGCACTGACAATTTTGCCGAACTGGCACAAAACCGACAATCGGTAACAGAAACCCTGGATCATGTGATCGATCTATACAAGTCAACCTTGTTTCAGTTTTAACATACACACATTCTCTCTCCCTCTCTTTCTCTCTCTCTCTGACTACTCTGGTCTCTAGAGAATCTCGATCATATCTAATCTCTTTTTGCTCAAACATACCAAATCTGTCAGCGTCAATAACCATGACCCGCATCTATACCTATGTTACGTAACTCGACCCAAATGTATTCTACAGTGCGACGCAATGCGTAAACGTGTCATTGCACCTGTTGAGTACTAATGTTTGACACAAGACTATGCGCAGGAATGATACGGGGGGGGGTGATTGGAGGAAAGTTTGTATACGTCATACAATGAAAGATAAGTTGACGCATGAATGGGTGGACGCGTAAAATAAAAGTACCACAAAAAATGAGGGGGGGGGAATGGGTTTTGACAATCTACAACAAAACGTTAAACGAACAATATTTGGTTGGAAGCCGTCAGAGAAATTCACGTCTGAAATCATATTCTTGCACGGTGAATAAAAGTAGAGTATATTAGGAAAATAAAAGAAAGTAAAAAGAACTGAATTTAAGTAATAATTATCATTATACTTAATATTGCATTGTGTATTACGAAGAAAGGAAACGAATTGTTGTACTTTTGAGATGATGAAAGAATACTACACACATTGCTGTACCTTTAAGTTGTTAAACATGAACTAACACACTGTTGTGTACTCTTTATATTACATTGAACAATGCAAAAAATTGAACAAATTAATATTGAACAAATTATATGTATATATGTCCTGCTACAGCATTGTTAAAAATAAATTTAAGTAATTGACAAAATGTGTACTCCTGAGTTCTGATATTATGGGGGGTTTTTTACATGAAAGTCTGGTAAACAAAATTATTTACAAGTATACTATTTCATTTAAGCATGAGCATAGAGTACAAAAAAAGTGTTGTATTTTTTGCTATATTGCATATTGTTGAACATAAAGTAAACTTCACAATTATTGTACACCTGACATTGAAAAAATGCAAGTTTGCAAATTATAGATCTTCTCCTACTGCATTGTTAAACGTGAAAGTAAAGGTATAAAATGTATTGTTCTCCTGGTATAGTTCTGTACATGTGAAAGTAATAAAAATCAAACTGTTGTCCTCGTGATATTTCATAAAAAAAATGACCGTAGAGCACAAGGTACTGTATTACTGATATCACATTTGTTGAACATGAAAAAAAAAAAGGAACATCATCGAATTCCGGATATTTCATCTATAAAAAATGACCGTAGAGGACAAAGTATTGCATTACTGATATCACATTGTTGAACTTGAAAACAAGAAGAAACATTATCAAATTCCGGATATCTTTTTATACAAAATTTTCGCAAAACAAATTTAACAATATGATATTCTAATATCATACTGTTGAATGTTGATGTAAAATAGGACAATTATTGTTGTACTGGAATTGTTTTGTACATATACAATGTAATTAGATTCATTAAACAAATTATTGTGATATTTTATAATTATAAACCATGCAAGTAAAATGCCAAGAAACTACTGCATTGCTGATGCATTGCTAAATTTGAATGTTATGTACATGTAGGTAAATTGTGGTGTTACATTAAAACATTAACAAAGTGCTGTTTTTTTCTGATATCATATTGTTAGGTGTTGAAGTAGGAAAGTTATTGTTTTGGTATTATTCTTTCGTACATTTATTAATAACATGACCGTTAATTAATGAACTTAAAAGTAGATTGGAGAAAATTATCGTAATACTGGTATTATTTAGTACACAAAAGAAGCGTAAACAAATAATTGTACTCGTGATATTTCAATAAGAATACAATACAGTGTGCTGTATTGCTGACAACTTGTTGTAAAGTCTAAATCGGGAAAATCATTGTACACGAAAGTAACATATACAAAATTGTGCTCGTATTTTGTTCAAACATGCATGTAAACAGAGTGTTGTACTCTTATAATATTTCACTGAAATGTAAAGCATGAAAGTAAAAAGGGCAAATTATTATACTCTTGATATGATAACACTATTGTTTATGAAAGCAACAGTTTTACAATACAACAGTTTACCCAATTTGCCAGCAAAACTAGAATAATTTCCCAAATCCATACATTTATATGGAAGGGCCAAAGGAATTCCAGTGTATGTTTGTTTTTGTAAAGGGAATAGCACCTTCCAAATTAATTTTCAAAATTGTCTGATCAAAATTGTTATCCTACGTGTATCACCTCACAAAAAAATTAAGGGGATATCCCCTTAATTTTTAAAATGGCATTCTTACCTGTAGCTTAAACATGGTGTTAAACACAGTTTTGCAAACTTCAGTTTTATTCAAGCACAAAAATAAAGTGCAAAAACTGGCTTTTTTGTGATATCATATTGTTAAACATTGAAGTAGAATAGGAAAGTTATTGTTCTTGTGGTATTGTTTTATTTAGAATATGAAAGAAACCTAAAAAACTATTGCATGTACTCGTGAATTAGATATTTCATCATCAAATTCATCAAATTCCGGATATTTCTTCAATAAAAATGACCGTAGAGGACAAGGTACTGCATTACTGATATCACATTGTTGAACTTGAAAACATTATCAAATTCCGGATATCTTTTTTCATAGAAAATTATCGCAAAACAAATTTAACAATATGATATTCTGATATCATATTGTTGAACGTTGACGTAAAAAGGGACAATTATTGTTGTACTGGAATTGTTTTGTACATTATACAATGTAATTAGATTCATTAAACAAATTCTCTTGATATTTTATATAAACTATGCAGGTAAAATGCCAAGAAACTACTGTATTGCTGATACACTG